TTATAATCTCTAACGAGTCCTGAACAATCTGGTTTAGGGTGTGGGCATAGCACCTAATTCTTTCTTGAGACATTTTTTGACCGCTAGTTTCATACTTAATGCATTATCTGAAGCAATGCACTTTATTTTACTCTATATACCCCATTCTTCAATGATTCTCTCCATTTCTTGCGAGAAATTTTCTCCAGTGTGAGAGTCCACCATTCTTGTAAGTTCAGGCAAAATTTATTTCATCCTGAATTCATCATAGATGAAGTGAGCAGTTATGGTTAAATATGATTCACATATCGATGACGTCCAACAATCCGTAGTTAGGCAAATTGTTCAACGTTTGTCATCACCTGTTTTATTTCATGTATGCATTGCTTGTACTTCTTTGGCAGTTAACAACCGGAAAGAGTTTTACTGCTCGGTAGCTGATAAGAAGGATTCAGTGCTCTCACAAATTTTTTAAAACCTTCATCCTCAACCACGCTAAATGGTTAAAATTCAGTAATGAACAAGTCCATTAAGACGTCATCAATTTTCCGCCCTTCATCTAAACACAACTTTTTAGGCGCAAACTGAAAATTTTTGCTTTGCTGGAGTTTAGTTTTTTTTTTCGTTGGTGATTTTGATTGCCATGTTATTTACTTCAACGTCGTTTATTTCATTTGATGAGGATTCTTCTTGCCTTTCAATACTCCATTGTAGTACTGTTGGATGAGTTCGATTCAGATGTTTGTTTGTTTGTTTTTTTTTTTTTCAAATTAGCTGTTGAAGAAAGTTCCTTTGTAATAAACTAATCACTTGCAGTGAAATGTGACCAAATCTCACTGGACTTTTTCACAGAGCTCATGAATGAATAAAGAAGTTTTTTTTTTTAAATAGAAACACTCTGAATATACTATTAAACTTTCGAATATTTAACAAATAATAAATAACAAGCAAAACTGTAAATGAGAAGTTAAACTAATGCGACGTAACTTAAATTATAACAAACAACGTGATACAGAATTTAAAAATTAGTTCTCAAATCGATGTTCAGGAAAAGGATTCAAAACGAAAAATAGTCAAGAATTTAAACTAGCCTTCACATCACAACTTCTTTTTCTGTTTACTTGATAGATTATCTCAGTTTAACACCACTTTTTTTCAGGTAGTCAATCATACTTTATGAGCAATCGCTGTAAATCCTTTATGAGGGCGGGAAAACAGCCACGAGCAAAAATCATCACATGCAGAATACCCTTTGAAAATTTTTTCTACTCCATCAGCTACTGCAAAATTTACCAGATGTTCCCCTGACGATTGGTCCGTTTCGAAATCAAAAAAGATCAACTTATCAGACGGCGTTTGTGATTTGATGGTTTTAGAGTAACATCTATGTTCTGAAGACTTCACAAAGGTTTTACAGGAAGGACATTTTATTGTCCAACAACGATGTAGCTCTGGTGGACATTCTCGCCTTCGAACGACTTTACAACAGGTTCTGCGTTGGTAAATTTAAAATAATAATTTAAAAAAAAAATATTTGTTACATTCACTGAGAAAAAATTTATAAATGTACGTACGCATACATATAAAAAATAATTTTGTCTTACTTTATCGCACAAAGAATTCTCTTGCAGTCCAGATGTAAACTTATGAACATTAAAGCATTCTTGTGACCTACACAGCCTGAAGCAATCTCCACATCTTATATTTTGTCCATCTTCGCAGTCAACTCTGGCACAAACTCTGCATGAATTAGAATAAAAATGATCCTCAATGTGTGCAAATGGCTTTTCACACTGCTCACGATAAAAATTACTTGCATGATAACCTTTCATGCGTTTTATCACGTCGTAATGGTTATTTGATAATAGAAGATTGATTCTTTGTACTCCCCTGTATAAGCAACCTAAAATACATAATTTTATTAAACATTCATACAAAATAATTAATACTTAATTCATAAAAATAAAAAAAACATGACAGAGATTTGAATGTCCAAAAATCGTTCGAAAATGGCTATTGCGTTGAATGTGCAGGGGCCTAATGATACGCCTGCAGCAAAGTGTAAATCTTTTGCCTTGTTCAAAAGAGCAGGTCGATTCTTCCTCCGCAAAACATCAATCTGCTTTCTGTCGTTATTTAAATGTGCTAAAGCATAAACAATGGCTTTAGCACAGCACAACACTTGTTCGTCTGGATGAATAGTTAATATCGACTTTTTGGTATTCCTGTCTTTAAAAATATTAACTGTTCTATTTCCTCTACCGGCACCGACATCTCTCCTTATAGTAATGATGTCAACTATAAATCCCTAATCTAACTCTATTTGGTCTTTCGACTGCAAAACTTTTAAAACACAGATTGGTAATCTAAGACAAGGGGACCTATCTGTCGTATTGCAAACTCTTGAAATTAATAACTCGAACAATTGTCGGACAGTGTCAACAACAGTAATTACTGGCGTCCCTCTCAAAATCAATCCAACTTTATCAAAGATTTCAATTTCTCAGGAAGCGGTTCAAACCATAGATCAAAGATCCTTCCAACGGTCCTTCTGGATGTCCCAAATCGATAGGCAATATCCGTGGCAAATAAATTCAGTTTTAATTTCATTAAAACAATTAACAATTGTTCACTCCTAGATATGGCTTGTATGGAGTCTGGCACATCAGAAGCCATTACGTGTTCTATAAAACGGTTCTATAGAGTTCGTGAAATTGTTAGGATCAATAATTGGAAAACAGTGTTACAATTAAGTTCTAACAGAATGTTTTAACTCTTTTTTTTATAATGCTTTTAAGAACCCCCTTCGCTGTCTTTTTTTTCTCCCTTATTACTTAACAAGTAGTACATTTTCGATCTTAAACCTACGAACTCTTTCACTGCAACACCGTTCATCTCATCTTTCATTTTCCTTAAAAAAAAAATTTTTTTTAATGACTCAATGGATAATCTGATGTATCGTATAAGTTAATGTGTTAGGCCATGACAAGGTAGATGTCATCCGTTTGTATCTCGTAAAAAAGCGAGTCTGTGTCTGTAAACAATAATTCTGCCTTACTTCCTTATTTTGCTTTAATGTGACCGTAGTGAAATTCATACATAAAAATTTTGCTAATGTCCAATACAGTGAAACTTATATAAATAGGACGATTGAGAGTAAGAGATGAAAAGTGACGTGATATAATTACTAATCCTTCGTCTATAATTTTAAATGAACTAAAAGAGGGTGATGCAATTAATTTTAAAACTTTTTTTCTTATCGGTTACTAGATCTACAGCTGCAAGATTTCTCAGATTTTCCATAGTCTTTCCAAAAACACTGTTATTCATAAGTTCCCGAAAATCTTTATCAAAGGAATTATTTGCCATGGTTTTTCTTCAACAGGGGAAAGGAAGGAATCCCTGCACTACCACTTTGCCATTACTTCTTAGCGAACTCTGTGGAAACTAGGCAACTCAGCTGAGGGGGAAAATCCAGTCTAACCTCGTTACGTCAAGAGTGAATGTCAAAAAGTTGCTCCTACAAGATCAGTCCAACGCACTTTCGTTTGCGTTCTTGCTGCAAAGCATCTCACTACAAAGCATTTCTTCCATTATCGCATTTTTGCGTTAAACATGTCTTTCACGTCAAGACATTTCTATAACGGTTAAACGAAGTTTAACAAGGTAAATAACGTGTGTTCTTAATGGCTTAGGGAAAAAGGTTTAATAAATAAAACCAAAGATTAAATGATTAATNACAAGGCAACTTTAGACATGATCCCTCGCTATCAATAAGAACATATGAATAACAGCAGGGTATATGTTACGCAGTTATTTCAGTGCGCGTATCACTATTAGATGCATTTTTAATTAAAATGTATTCAAAATCTGCATAAGTTCAAAACTTGGAATTAAATAAATTATAATTAACATTTTCCACTGTTTTTGTTTTCCATTCCTGCGAAACCTTCAACGAGCCAATGATATTTCCTAGAAATTCTAGCTATGAAAAAATATCAAGATCTCTTTTAACCGATAAAATAAGATCTTCATTTTACACCTAGTTCTGGATTTTGAACCTCTACTAAAAATACTAATCACATTTTGATCTCCAACGATGTCTTATACTCATAATTTTGTATCCATTTGGGTGATTTTATTCAGCTTTTATGTGATTTTATTCAGCTTTGAATGCAACTGTTATGATGCTTTACTATGTTTACATTTTACCTGGTTTTACTCACTTTTGAATGCGTTGGTTTCGTTGTATTCAGTTTTATAAATTCCGTGTGATTTTTGAGGGGAAAAACTTGTAGTATAACATCTACATAGGATTTATTTTGAAACCGTTTGTTTGGCGCAGCATGTCCTTCTGAGGACTTTCTGCCACTAAACCCAACATTCAATTCAAATCCAAAAAGTGGTCTACAGAATCAGATCCTCTACAGACCGTAACAGGTTTATATGTTTTTCCATCAGGTCCTACGATTACGTAAGCATAACCGCGGGGTGTATGAATTGACATTTTCTCAGTATATGAGGCTAAAGGATTAGGTTGACAACTATCAATTTTCTCAATGAGAGACTCAAAATCTGCGTAAATTATAAAGGAATGGGAGGCTGAAAATTAATATTATGAAAAGATACAATTTTATCTTTATCATCAGGCTTTTAATATCTTGAGGGGAATTATGTTTACAAAAAGTTAAGTGTTTTTTAAGGGTCTCTTCTACTGCATGAAGACAACGATAAAAATAGAAGCTTTTAGGATTATGTTTAGTGGCATCAACCATCAAACGAGAGAAATTTCGAATGAGGCAATAATGATTTTGCTTTTCATTTGAAATTAAAAGTGAGTTGCAGCATTCAACATCTTCACGCTCGGAAATATACAGTGGAAATATTACCTCGTCATACCCAAAGACGTTAATACGAATGTTATTGAGTGTCTCGATTTTAGGAATTTGGAATATGGGTACTGGCAAGCTTCAATTGCCCAAGTTAACCATTATTTACCATTCGAATCAAATATTAGCTCGTGGATTTTGAGATTTATGAATATTCATTCGAAAAGCCAAAAGACACCATACGAGATATTTTTGATCTAAATTTTGAATATTTAAAACTGCTTTTTTACTTAAAATTTTAGTGGGCAATGGAATATAACTAACTGCTCATGCTTAACGGGCAATATTTAGCACTGGATACTTCCTTAAAATCAATAAATTCAAGTATCCAACCTGAACCATTGTTGCAAAATTTTTCAAAAGCACCATGAATTTTTAGAAAACCAGTGTTTATATTTACCTCCAGACCATTTTCTAACAACTGGATGTAACAATTGCTTCTAAAGCAGGGGGTTGCATATTCAGGTATCCCCCCCTCAGAGTTTTTTCTACTGCACAAGGTCTTTACCACTAGGTAGAATTTAATGTTCCCCTTTTCTCGAACTTCACCTCTCAGTTTTTCGTTCAGTTTTGGACGCATCTCGTCGAAGAATAAATTGAAGTCAAACATGGAGTCTTCGCTAGGAGTTAAAAATGAGGATGAGAAAACCCCTAACGCTGGTGATGGCGAAACTCTTTTAGACGATGATGATGACTCCTCGCTCGACTTCCTCTTAAAATGAAGCAACCTTGTGTGAGAAAGCAGCTCGGATTTTTTAGAAAATTTTGAAGGACATTGATCACATTGGTGAACCTGTATGAAATTACAGTTAGAATTAAATAGAACATGCTTAATTCTGTGTTATTGAAATTATACTTACATTCCTAGCTGCGCAAACTTTATTTTTCACATGTTGGTTCATGTTATACTTGTTACATTGAATTTAGTTTTACATAAAATAAAGTAATAATAAGTTATACACTAACGAAATTTTAATTAATGTAATAGAAACTAAAATAGCCAATAGAAGAGTGTCAGTCTTGACATGCTAATATTTTAGTGTTTGCATATTAAAAGATTGAAAAACATGGCGAGCGTGATTGTAATCTGATTCGCTAATTTCTTCATCGGTTAAACTATTGTTTAAGTACTCAGGTGGAGGTAACTCAGGCTCATTAAATTTTTCCACGACAATTGTTCTAAAGTGATTTCGAGTGTGTCTATATCACCACAGCTTGAAAGTTTCTGTGCATAATTATAACTGATGCATTCATGTCCCAGCTGATTTTCATAATGAAGCTCCCAGCCTGTACACTCAAATGTAGATATCACTTTCTCTTCGATGTTGGATTTTAGGAGCTCTACCATGGTAATGGTTGACACAAGTTAAATGTCACATAGTTCCATTTGAGGAGAGATAGCAAGACTAGGATACTTTTTTACTTCATTCAGCACTGTTTGAAGGAGCTAGAGGAAATTTTCTTTTGAAAGTCTCTATCAGACATTAACTTTACAAAATTGTCTTGTAAAGTCTTTTTTTCCTAAAATACCATTGAAAAGTTACGTGAGGTTCGATGTCGAGGTCCACCTTTGCAATAAGGAAACAGTCGTTGACGATGACTATATCCCCAGCTAACACAAATTCTTTGTAGCTTTCTGATTTTCTTAGAATGGATAGCCAAAGTGGAATAGTCAATGTGATGCCTTTCCTTGTTGGAATTCGATTTCCTTTTTCTCCAAGCAGGCACCCGGATGTTCTCATTGTAGAGAACCGCTCACTATTAAACATATTTTTTTTTCTAACTGTAACAAATTTAAAACACAGAGACGCCATTTTGGTAGCTTTAATCCAACATTGACTTTAATTGGGGATAAACCACACAATAGCATTTTTAATTATCTAAGGGACATTGGTTTTTATAAATCAATATAGCTATAACTTATAGCAGAATGTTTCTTATAAAACAAGTTGTAGGTGCGGTATGGCTTTTGCTCCAATAATACTTAACTAACTTTTCTCCAAGCAGATATTTTCGAAGATGAATAAGTAAAGTGTTGGAGAAGTATGTCATTGCAACATAGTTTAACTCACTAAGATGATAGTGGTGCTTAGGTAAAACTATACTCTTTTCCATCGGAGTAGATGACAAAGGAGCCGGCATACTAGAATTCTTCTCTATTTCAGCGAAAGAACGTTTCATGGTCACGGGAAAAGAAAATTTCTTACAACACTTCTACCAACTTTAGTAAAGTAAAAATTGTTTCTAAGCCACAGAGCTTTTCTAGCATTCGTCAACCAATTAGAGTAGCTTAAACACACATGTGACCATTTATGGTGTGGCACCATAAGTCTGAATAACTTAGTGTGCTAATTCTAGAAACTTTCTGAATCATAGGAATTTTAAGTAAAAATGTGTTATACCTTCTTAACATTCCATTGATAATGAATAACTCACAATAGTTAAATTTTATCAAACCTATTATTTCTATTTATGCTATCTAAAACGTAATGTATGACATGAGGTACTTTTTTTTTGACAGAAGTAAAAATTCTGCAAAAACTATAAAATCATATTAAAGTTAGCAAAAATGATAGTGTCGAGAAGAAGAAAATCGAAGTTATATGAAAAGTGTAATTTATAATACTACGGAAACAATAAAGGAGAAGAAATACTATAGAAAATATATGTAATCTTCAACATTCCTAAATCAAATATAATCCTCAAGGAAATTAATGAAACTATTTAACTTATTTCATTAAATGAGTAATTTTATAGACTAGGAAAGAAAAATCCAAGTCTCAAAATAATAATTTTAATGCTTTATAGAGATAGTATACCAAAACACAGATAAAAATCAAATTTTGATTAAATCAAAAGACAGAGTTTTAAAAAAAATGACTAGTACTTATCAGTGGGGTTGAATACTGATTCATGTTAACGAAGTGGGGGAACCCCATTTTTCCCCTACTACAACGGGCCAATGATATTTCCTAGAAATTTTAGCTATAAAAAAACAAGATCTGTTTTAACCTATAAAATAAAATCATCATTTTTCATTTTACACCTTCTTCTAAATGTTGAACTAATTAAATCTTGATCTCCAACGATGTCTTACACTCATAATTTTGTATCCATTTAGGATAACTTCTTGATTTCCAGCTATGTCTTATACTCGTTATTTTCATTTACATCGGGCGTTAATCCTTGTTCTAACTACCACGCCATAATAAACTGTCCATCAAACCTAGAAAAAATATAAATAAATAAGTTTTCTTTTTAGAATGCTCCTATAAAATTTTTAATTTTCGTATCTTACCTTTTTATATTATGAGCAATTGCTGTAAACTGTGTATGAAGAGAGAACAGCCAGGAAAATTCTTGCAGCGCTATGTATCCTTTACTTTCTCATGTATTTTGTATTTTTGCCCGATTACCTGCGGGCTGTTGCCAAAATAGTACTTTGTTTTTAAACAAATGCCACAGAGGGGCTTCGCCGGGCCTNCAACATATTTAAGGTTTTCTCACATCGTTTTCTCAAATGTAAAATATGAGGTAAGAAGGTGAGGAGAAGGTACATTCAATTCAATTCCGGAACTCTAGTCAGTTTCAAAATGAATATAAATGATTTTACCTGATGGCTTTTTCGCATCACTTTTGCGTAGGTGACATAAATGTGTGGCCACATGATCTACACTTTGATGTTCCACAACGATGGAAATCGCGAGGGCTAATCTTCTTTAGAACTACTTTCAAACACTGAGGGCATTGGTATAGCTAAAATTGAACAAAGTTTAAACAAAGTATGAAAAGCTTTTAAAACCAAAGTAACAATAATAAAAATACATACTTTAACGCAAATTGAAAACTATTGCCTATTCCCTTTCGCTTTATGAGATATAACACATTGCTCGGATCCACACAAACTATCACAATCATGACATTTTCTGGGGTTGTCAGATGGAGCCATTTCTGGCTCTTGCGCCAATAAAATCCAACCAACCAAATTCGATAGATTTTAACACAATAGTGAAAGAAAAACATTTTTCATAATTTATGATTGAAAGACAATTTTTTTATGATTAACGAAAAATAGAAATGATAAATGAATTAAATTACTAATTAAAATTATCTTGTTTAATTAGAGATTCAAGTTAACGTGATTAAGAAGCCGGATGAATAAAGTATCGATAGATGCAAAATAAAATTTATGTTAGATAAATAAAACAAAAAATTTACCTTGTTTGAAATCGTTGTGGAAAATACCACAATTTGCGTGTCAAAATAACATTCGAACAACGCTATCTTGCGATGCGTGCACGTTCCTATGGGCACTCCAGCGTCTTCATGCAACTTCCTCGCACGATTCAACAGAGCATGACGTCGCTTAAGGCATTTTTACACGTGCTAATGCCTTTGCACAACGAAGCCCTTCATCATCGAAATCTATACTGATTACAGATTTTTTTTTCTAAGTCCGTCGACATCTGTAAGGACTTTTAAGTGACGCCCAACTCCAAGTGATGGTTTCTCTGAGAGCGTTTAGAACGCCTGCTTCAAAATCCATCATGGCACATTTTAGGTAAAAATTAGCCCATTAATCCCCAGAGTGCAGATGGCTCTGCTTTTCTTTGCCTGGTTGCTTGGTGTACCTAAACCTAGATGGCTCTGCCTTCTCCCAGATGGTCGGGCATTGGAATCATAGCTCACTGTGCTAATAAATTAAAAGTGTTCGAAAGAATTCGTGAAATAGGTGGGATTCATAAAAGTTCTAAATAGTTCAAAAACAGTGTTACAATTAATGTAACATTTTCCTTCCTTTTAAGGAAAAAAAAATTTATAAAAATTTTTCATTCTACTAATTATGCCAAGTGACTTCAAGAAAAAATCTAAAGCACTTACATATATATTCTTGAGTATTCTAAATCACATACAATTATAAATGCATAAATTCACAACCATGAATTTGTCATCTCCTGTGAGATTATTTAGATCACTCTCTCTCCAAAAAATGCATTTCTCTACCAACATAGAGCAAAAATACTATATACACTTTTAAATCTACTCATGCTGTTAACAAACATTGTCTTTAGTATCAAGCATCCTAAATTTATTTTTTCAAACATATTTTTATCACCAGAGTCAGCACAATTTTTTATCATATATTTGTAGGTTTCTTTTTTTTTACAATCCCACTCTGGTGTTGGTAATACCATATAAAAAAAAATTTTGGCATATCTTTCTTATATTTGCCAATATGATAATGACTTAATTCTCTTTCTCTCATACATTATTTCTTTATCACATTTCGTAAGACTTATCAGATCTTAATTCCTATTCAATGAAATTTGGGCCAGCCATCAATTCACTGAATTTTCATTTCTAGGCCTTAAAAATATTGGAAAAATGCAATTCAATAAGAGTAAAAACCAAAATGATATTTATAAACTTAAACCATTTGCATTTTTACCATAATATCATAGTCATTATCATCTAACTCAAACAATTTCACATCTTAATTTTGATTTAGTGTAATCTTACTCATTAGTATTCTATACTTAAATCATGTTCATTTACATTTGTCTCATTATCTAATTCTTTTCTTAAAAAGTTTACTCACATGATATTTTTTGAACAAATGTCTTTGTTCATCCTTAATATGTATCAGGTAATTGTTATTCCTAAACTTTTTTGTGATCTCAAATGGACCTTCATATTTGAGATCTAGAGAATTAACATCTGTATTTA